AAAGAAATAACCAACCAGAAATGAAGTAATATTTTTAAACAAATAACCTATTTTCTAAATTATCAATATTTAAACTACAAAATAAACTTATTATTCATCAAATGTCTAAAGTAACAGTAAGATTCTTCTTGAACGAACAGTTTATTTCATTTATCAAACTGAATTCACAAGACAATTTGAAAACAGTAAGAGAGAAATTAAGTGAAAAGATGTCTGGTTCTCATCAATTCCTAACAAAAGAAGGAGATTTAATTGATATAAATGATGAAGAGTCAGTTACTGTAGGCAATGTAATTGATTCATCAGAAATAATAAATATCAAAGAAAAAGAAGATAAAAAGGGAACAAGAATAAAACAAAAGGATAAAAAAGTTACTACTGTTCAAATAGATAAGAAAACAAAGTCAAATGATATCAGGAAATCAATTCAAAGTATTCCAGAAACTGCACATTTCTATACACCCGATAATGAAATAATTGATAAAATTGATAAAGATTTAGTTTTAGCAAAAAGTACATCAAATAATGATGAGGCTATTCTTAAAAATGAGAAAGAAAATATTGTAAGAATTGGAATATTATTGAACGAAAAGCCATTAATAAAAAAACAATTAAATAAAAATTCTTATCTTTCAGATATCAGAAAGATAATTGAAAGTCTAAAAAACATTCCAAAAAGTTTTGTATTTAAAGACCAAGAAGGATTTGAAATACCAACTGATGAAGAACAGTCATATAAATTATCAGATATTCTGTATAATAACAAGATCAATATAACAACAGAAATGTCTGATACTTCATCAAATAATACTACAACATCTGTTAGTTCACCATGTAATACTTTAGCCCCTGTTAGCTCATTAAATACCACCATAGTCCCTGTTGGTTCACCGTGTAATATTACAGTACCTCATACTTCTACAAGTAATACTTTAGTCTCTGATAGTTCACTAAATAATAATATGGTCATATCTTATATTTCAACAAATGATACTACCATTGTATCTGAACAAAATATTCCAATTGAAGGAAGTAAACTATTGAAAAATAAAGAAGGAAAATTGAAAATATATTTATATCCAAATGAACCATTTAATCAAAAAGATGAGAGTGAAGCAGTTTCTATTTTAGTTATTGGTGAAACAGGAAGTGGTAAAACAACGATATTGAATAGTTTTGTAAATGCGGTATGTGGAATCAAGATAACAGATGATTTTAGATATATAATTATAAATGAAGATCATTTAGAACAGAGTGGAGATCAATCTAAAAGTCAAACAAGTGAAGTAACAATTTATAATATTAAAAGAACAAAAAGAACACCACCAATAAAAATAATAGATACACCTGGATTTGGAGATACAAGAGGAGATGAATATGATGTAGAAATTACCAGACAAATTAAAGAAGCATTTGAAACAAAAGTATCAGATTTAAATGCTATTTGTTTTGTTGCAAAATCAAGTAACACAAGATTAACAGAAAATCAACAATATATATTTGATAATATTATTGATTTATTTGGGAAAGATGTGAAAAAGAATTTTATTGCTATACTTACATTCTGTGATGGTCAAACACCAAAAATTCTAAGTTCATTACAATCAAAAGATTGTAT